AGCTCCCTTGCCCATTTTTTAATTGGGTTTCTTGGGTTTCTTCACTTTTTTGATAGGGAATGGCAAGTTTCTACAAGAACATGTGGGTCAAGAGATATTGTTTTGATCATCTTTGGAAAACACAATCTGCCACCATGAGGTATAAGCAGAAACCAACCTTATGCTTTTCTCTACTGCCCCTTTCAAACTGCTCTGTGAACTCATTCTTCCCAGCATCTTGAATACAATTTTTTTTTTGTCTTTTTTGTGATGAGTAAGGGGATTGCAACCCTTGGCTTGGTGTCGCCCGCACCGCACTCAGCCAGTGAGCGCACCGGCCATCCCTATATAGGATCCGAACCAGACCCGCCGCACTCTCCCGAGTGAGCCACAGGGTTGGCCCTTGAATACAATTTTTTTTTTGTCTTTTTTGTGATGAGTAAGGGGATTGCAACCCTTGGCTTGGTGTCGCCCGCACCGCACTCAGCCAGTGAGCGCACCGGCCATCCCTATATAGGATCCGAACCAGACCCGCCGCACTCTCCCGAGTGAGCCACAGGGTTGGCCCTTGAATACAATTTTAATACAATCCTATACTGTAGTAGGCTGTATTGACCTTTATTTGGTGGCCCTCTCTGCAGTAGAATTACACATTCCTGCTCTGGTAACCTCAGGTTGTAGTCATATAGACTTGAACAAGAATATGTGTCATTTCAGGGCAGAACTTTTAACAGCCAGCATGGGTTTCACTATATTTTCCTTCCCCTCTGTCATAATGAAAAGCAATATTCCGGACAGTGGCTACTCCCTCAGTCCAGGTCCCAGAGCAAGCCACAATCACAGCCGAGTTACAATTGATGTGGTCTAGCACACTGCTTTAGGATGTAGGGGTAAAGGGACGTGTATTACATATTCTGTACCTCCGAGCCTCTCTAAAACACTAGGAATTCTTGTAGGCTTTGCTGAAACACCAAAACATGAAATCCTGTTTTGACCTCCCATTTGTACTGTTCTCTTAGGTTTCTTTCTCTGAGTTTATGTGTATGGAGATATTCCACAAAAATTTGACCTACAAGGTTATTTTGAAAATCAACATTAATGTATGGAAAAAGAACATTTGTATAGATCCAGGACCACCATAACATGTGGCATCCCATAGATCATTTAATATCTCTGTTGGTTATTTCTCTGGCAAGTTAAAAAGTCCTATTTTAAAGAGATATTATCAAAAAATAACCTATGTACAGAATATATAAATTAACATATCTTACTGCACTATTTTTGGTTACCTAGATACAGATAGAACTATAGGTTTAGCATCCCTAATCTGAAATCCAAAATGCTCCAGAATTTAAAACTTTTTGAGCACCAACCTGATGCTCAAAGGAAATTCTCATTGGAGCATTTCAGGTTTCGGATTTTTGGATTAGGGATGTTCAACCGGTAGGTATTCCGCCAATGTTACAAAATATGAAAACATCTGAAATATAAAACACTTCTAGTCCCAAGCATTTCAGATAAGGAATACTCAACCTGTATTTAAAAAAATCTTTTACATGGCTTTGTTCTATAGCCCTCAAAAGCTCAGGGATATGTGTATGACCAAGATGCCAAATAGATTATGGAGCTATGTCTCAGTCATTTTGCCTACTTCCCTATTCAGCATAAATATTAGGTCCATTGTCATTATAGATGGATATTATTTTTTTTTCATTCTTCTATATAATAGTAGAATAAGATAAAAAATAAACGAAATTATGTGCTTTTCCTAAAGTCACTGAGTGTCTTTGGTAAGGTAAATACTTTATCCCTTCCTTTCCTTCTCATCATTTAAAAAAAAAAAAAAAAAAAAAAAATCTACTGCACAAAGAACCACAGTACTCTCCATTACAGGTACTTTTCTGATTGAAAATGCTGCACTTTCCATGTGGTGGTGAGTAGCAGAAAAAATTAAACCACATAACTAGGCATTTCTCTACTGCTCACAGGTAGTGAGGCTATTAATACGCCCCTTTTGTAAGAGTAATTCGGATGATGAACAGCTGAATTTTGAGAATGGAGGTATGGTGGTGGCAGTAGGTACTGACCAGACAAGGCAATGAAGGGGTAGATGGGTATAAATGGTCTACATGACCCTGGAAATTGCCATCCTTTTAATATCATTGACTAGCACAGATCATTGACCTTATTCTTTATTCATAAAGTTCTCTTAAATACAGATATCCTACATCTATTTTCCCCTCCAGACTGTCAGCTCCATGAATGCACGAGACATGTCTGACTTTTATATCTTTAAACCCAGTACAGTTCCTGGTTTATTTCAAGCGGTTATTAAATATTATTTGAATAACAGGCTGGCTGAATGAATACATTACATAGATCCAGCCTTTTATCTTTTTTGCAGAGAATTATATGGATGCAAATAGACTCCTATCCAGTCACTGCATTCAGCTCAATGTGCAGATTCTCCAGGTGTGGTGGAATGTTCTTCCTTAAATCTAAAAGTGATTCCTTATGGTTCAATGACTTACAAACTAAGAGACAATGATCTGCTCCCCAGTCTCATCCAATAAATAATGGTAGAAAAAGGACACAATAACCACAATAAAAATTCCTATTTAGAAAGGAATGGAATATGTGCAATGATCATTGGTCTACAGCAATGCTGGTATCCTGCTAGACAGGCGTTACAAAGTTCCTTATCCTATAATTAGGCTCTGATTATACTCTCTGAAGTACATCCCTTGAACATCATACTCTGAGGTCTTTGTCTCCATCTTTCAGTTTTATTTCATTTCCTTTGTCCTCTTTTGGGAAAAGGGGCTGTTTAGCTTTGACAGCTAATTCCTTGAAGAAACAAGCTTAGCTATTTCTAATAGTGTCCTGTCATTATCATTTATTTTGTGTTTTTTGTTTTGCTTTGCATGTTTTATATCAGCTTTATTAATAAATAATATTCATACAATTAAGGGCATCCATTTTTAAGTGTACAGTTCAATGAATTTTGACAAGTATATATATATAGCACCTCAATCAAGTCATAGAATATGCCCATTTAACCACAAAATTCCCATGTACTTCTTGGCAGTCAATCTCCCCCCACAGTCTATCCCATCCCAGGCACCAAGTGTCACTGCTATGTTGTCACTATAAATGTTTTACATGTTCTAGAATTTTATCAAATATCCAGCCAGTATTCAAATTTCCACTTATCCTGTACATGTCATATTGCTTAAATTGTTTGAAACAAAGTTCAAATAATAATAATTTAAAATGATTGATATACCCTTTAAATCTCTTTTAATTTCCTTCTCTCTCCTGTCTTCTTAATAATTTGTTGCAAAATCTGGGTCATTTGTCCTGAAGATTTTCTGACAGTCTAGACTTTGCTGATTGCATTGGGTGTCTAACATGTTCCTCTGTCCTCTACTTTTTGTAGATGTTAGTTCTATTTACAGACATGATCTGATTCAGATTCCATCTTTTTGGCTTCACTTAATTGGGCTTAAGGGTTACAGACTTTAATATTCTTTTTGTCATAAATAACAGAGAATTTAACAGTTTATGAAATTTATTGGCTCACATAACTGAAAATTCCAAGGAATATCATGGAGTCAGGGCTCATATCATGCAATATAACCATGTTACGATTTTTTTTTTTTTTTTTTCTGCTTGATTCTGGTCTCTTCTGAGTTTTGGCTTCATTTTGCTTCCTGATGGTTCAATTTCGTGTCATTGGCACTCGTTGGCCTGACTTAATTAATTATTTGGTCCATCCTGAACCAATTAATGGCACCAAGGAAACATGATACTCTGGCCAGATTAGGGTGCCAAGGTGGAGGTACTCTCACCAAAACCACATCAACTGTTATTGAATTTAAAAAGATTTTTAGTCCTCTACCATCACAGTTGGTATAAGAGGTGAACTTATTTACATATTTTTTTTTTTTTTTTTTTTTTTTTTTTTTTTTTTTTTTTTTTTTTTTTTTTCTGCTTGATTCTGGTCTCTTCTGAGTTTTGGCTTCATTTTGCTTCCTGATGGTTCAATTTCGTGTCATTGGCACTCGTTGGCCTGACTTAATTAATTATTTGGTCCATCCTGAACCAATTAATGGCACCAAGGAAACATGATACTCTGGCCAGATTAGGGTGCCAAGGTGGAGGTACTCTCACCAAAACCACATCAACTGTTATTGAATTTAAAAAGATTTTTAGTCCTCTACCATCACAGTTGGTATAAGAGGTGAACTTATTTACATACACAGTGTATTTACTAACGACATTCTATTATATACTCTTTACATACAATAACTCTTACCTACAAACAATATTTCCACCGAAGCGCAGGTAGAGTGTTTATAGTGTTTTGAGTAGTAAGTTATAGGGGGGAGGCCTTTTAGAATTGTCCCCCAAATTCCTCTCTACTAAGTCAGCGACCACTTGTCTCTTACCTGAGAAGTGAGCTTTGTAAAAATAAAAACGGTAGAGCTAAATTTCAATACGGGAGAAAGTGGTAAGCAGATCATTGAGGATGAGGGAGAAACAGGGGTGGGGGAATGGGAAGCTGATCGCAGGCTCATAAAGAAAACATGCAGGACACTGGGTGACGATGCATTTAAGGTTGGGAACACTTAAAGGGAGGTTACCGTGTGGAAGACCTCAGATAAAACTTGGTCTACTTTTCCAGGTTACGTATTTTTAACGCCAACCGCAGAGTACTAGTGGTTTCATAAAACATTTCTTGGCAGTGATTACCAGCGTTAGGGCGGGGTGGAAGCTTCATGAGAAAGGTCAGGATAGCCTGGACAGGATACCGAGTTTTGCTGGCGTTCACTCGGCCAACACAGCAAGATTTCTTCCCTCACCGCGGCCTGACAGCGTCACTCCGCCTGGCCGGCGGATAGCCCGGGCCAACCAGGGCCACGCCCCTCCCGTCGACCAGCTCTGCGTTTGCGTCACTTCCGGACCTGGGCGATTCTTGTCCGGGTCATGCTGAGCTGCTTGCTCTCTCTGACTGGTGGAGGTGCCGCGCTGTCCGCGTTGTCTCCTCCGGATGAGATCGAGCCGCAGTGTCCACCGGCGAGAAGCCACCAGTGTCCCGGGCAAAGAAAGACGAGGAGGAGACCTGGGAGCGGGCGGCGGCCGGACTGGGCCGCACCGGTGCAGGCTGGCAACTCTGCTGTTCTGCCTGCTGCTGTCTCTGGGAACCGGGTGCTAGCGCTGAGGGGCCCCCAGCAGACAGCGACCCCCTTCCCCGGCTCCCCTGCCCACCCTGCCGGGGAGGGCGGAAGATGCCGGTGAAGAAAAAGAGAAAATCCCCTGGGGTGGCAGCGGCAGTAGCGGAAGACGGAGGACTCAAAAAGTGTAAAATCTCCAGGTACTGCCTCCCCCCACCCTTCAAGCTTTTCTCTTTCCTCCTTTGCTGGAGAGATAGAGGAAAAAAGAGTCGGGCCCGACCTCCCGGGCTCGGGCTGAGAGAGGTGAGGCCCTTCTGATCAAGTTAGGCGGTAGGTGCGGAGCACCGCGAGTCTCCGCGCGGGACCCGACCTCGTGTTCGCGAGTGTGCGCTCTGGCGTTTTTGGAGGAGCTAGACGAGTTGCCCCACATTAGAGCCTACGTGCCCTGGAGGGTGGGGAAATATGCATATGTAAATTGTGCTCTTTCCTGGTTCCCTGCTCCCTTAATCCCTCCCCCGCCTTTTCCCCATACCTGGAAGTGAGTACAGATCCGCGAAATAGTCACTTCTCGAATTTCTTTGTAGAGCGTGAAGAAAGGAGCAGAACATAAGGAATCTTGACAACTTCCTTGGGAATGGTAGAAAGGAGAACTCCTGTGTTATAACTGACCTCCAGATTTAGTATTTGGAGTGGCCTTACCCGGACGATCCCAGCAGGAGTCCTTTTAAATTTAAGGAGCCCCGTTTTCTGGAAGTATAGTGTCTCTACCTGTACCAAGCCCTTACGTGTAGAGTTGGAATGGCCCTGCATGCTTTTTGTTTTCTAGCATTCAGGACGCTGTCAGTATAAATATTAATAATTTTGGAGCTATTGTACTCTGTATTCTCCTGAAGAAAAAGAAGACAAAGCAGTACTATGGTTACAGCTCTTTGATCCCGTTATAGCATATCATTGAGGCATCACAACAACACTGTACACTGCAAAAAATATCGTTGCAGTTTAGGTGTGAGAAGTGAGATTTTTTTTTTTTAATCCCCTTATTGGGTGTCTTTCTATCAGTGGTTGGCACTTGATGTGACCACTTTAGATGCTACCATTAAAAGAAGACAGTGGCTAGCATTGTAAGGAAGAAATAATATAGGGCTCTCCATAAGAGAGATCTACTGTTTAAAATGTGATGTAGGTGACCTATCTAGTCTGCATCTTCCTTTTGGTAATTGGTTGATTATTTTTTTTCTTCATTACTATGTTTTGGCAAAGGAGCCTAAGAAATATTTCTTGGGCTATTAATGTGAAAGATGATATAATTTTCCAATACCTCTTGGTAGCTAACGTTAGAATTTGACATGGTTACTTTACTACCTTATATTTTTATGAAACACAGGCAAATTAGTTTCTTTATTAGTTTAACTTTTGGCCATCTTAAGTGTATAATATATCAAAATTATTTAAATTAAGCACATTAAAATAGCTGAGCAGGCGGTATTATTAGAACGCAGATGATACTTTGCTCCATCAATCTAAATTTTTAAATATGGTACCTTTTTTTTACATTATGTTACTCAATTGCAGAAGTTCTAACATTTCTGTATCATTGTGGTAGTGTAATTATTCGAATTCCTTGAGAAAAGATTCTCTGAAGTCCATTAAATCCTAGAGGCCATTTTGAATTTCCCAGCTTTTAATGATTTTATAAAAAATGATGAAAATTATTTTATGAAAAAAAATTCTGGAATTAAATAGCATTGGCCCAATTATTTGGACTATTATGTACTTTTGTGGTATTTTTTTTTTTATTTTAAATTTGTGTAATTCAATGTACCCTTAGGTCCTAAGTCGTTTATCTTTAAGAATCTGTTTAAGCTTGGTAGATGACAAATAAGCAACTCTTAATATATCATTTTATTTTGAAATATTGACTCATTCAGTATCAAAATATACTTTGTAAGATTTTGTTTTTAAATGTCTATCTGTCATACACAAATACAATTTCCACACAAATCAGCAGAATCACAATAAAGATTTATACTTTCTCAACTCAACTGCCGATCCTGCACTGAGTCTTAGGTTGAACTTATGTGTAATTTTTTGACATGTGGGGAAATAATTTTATTGATATTTTTGGACTTTGATAATGAGCAAAGTAGCATTTGGGTTTTGTTAGCTAGAAATTTTTATGTATAGAGTACTATTTCAAATACTTAAATCTTATTTTTTTCCTATAATGCCAATTGTAAAAAAAATACTTTGTTTAATTTGGATTGAAATAATTCATATTGAACTTAGCTTTTCACTGAGAGTTGAGACTTTATAAAAATCTTAGGCATTTGTGTGTTTTCTAAGCTATTGCAGATCCCAACCCCCTGCTAGACTAATAAGTGGAGAGGAACATTTTTCAAGCAAGAAGTGCCTGGCTTGGTTTTATGAGTATGCAGGTAATGAAATTAATATAAGAAGATATCAGTCATATGCTTTAAAAAGTCTTTTTGGTTCATTCATTTAACAAATTATTTATTGCAGGCCTTTTATGTGTTAGTGCTATGTGCTGGGATCAGGGTCAAGTCTAAGGATTGTGGGTAGGTTAAGAATTTGGTGCCATTTCAAGCTGATATTTCTTTAAATACATATTCAGTATAAATTTAGTGGGGGAGGTGAGAGACATTTACTATTAATAAAATTTGTAAACTGAGACAGATGTACTTATTTATTTACATCCATTGGCTAAGTAGTATTCTATAAAACAGAACATAATAAAACATTTTTCTAGTCAATATTTTTTTCTTGAAATTTTTCTGAATTAGAAACTAACATTTTCTGAAACTTTTGGGGAGACAGTAAAAGATTTAAACCTCAGATATATCATTGCACAACACTTTTACCCTTTAATCATTGTTATTTAATTATTCATTTCTACTTAAAGATACAGTAATAAGTAAATAGACTGATATTAATATAGTGTGATAAATACTGTATTAGGAAGAAACACTCTTGAGTTCATAGGAGGAATGTGTAACCCAGCTATGACAGTATCAGAGGAGGCTTTCTGGAGGAGCTAACTTAACCTCAGCTAAATCTTGTTAAGAGGTGGATGGAAAGCTTCTAGGCCCAGCATGGGACTGTAGCTTAGAGGTAAAAGTCAAAGCCAGCCAGGGACGAGGCTGTAGACTTAAGCAAATATATGAAAAGGAACACTTGTTTCCCATTTATTACTTTTTTCCTGAGAATTGTTTTGGTCATTTGGAATTAATAATTTTAAAGTTTTACTTCCCCCCACCCCCTTTTTCCTGTTTCTTTTTTCTTCCCTGCTTCCCTGCTTTTTGTTTATATTTTTTCCCTCTTTTTATCACTATCATTCTCAAATTCTGTTTAAAATAAAAGTGTATATGTAGCTATTGCTTTACATGAGGGTACTTCAAAAAGTTCATGGAAAAATAGAATTGAAGATTAATACCAGTCTTTCCCTGCACTTTTTGAAGTACTCTTGTATTTGGTGCTAACCCATGTTAAGTTTTAAAGTGTACTCTGAACTTTGAGGTATAAGTTTAGGCAAATTGTATGGAAAGGGAGACTAGTTTGAAAGCGGGGCAGTAACTTCACTGTTGGGATCAGCCGAGTGATTCCCAAAAGTATAATTCAAAAATTGTTTAGTAGCAGAACAGATTATTTCTAGACCAGAAAAAAATGCTATTACTGGCATCCCAAGATAACTCCTAACCCATTTTAAATGAAGGGAATTCATTTTCTCACTGACCTCCATTTAGAATGGTGACCCATTATTCAAAATGCCAGTTTTACTGGTATGCATGATACAGAATCAAAAGGTCACTAATCTTATTTCACTTATAAAGGTTACTAAATACCATAAAAATAATTAGTAAATTTTTTTCTTTTATGTTTACTTGTTTTACCTCCCCTAAGAATTTTCTGGGCAGCATAAGATTCTAATTAAACACTTATTTTGTATATTAGTATTTTTGATAATAATTTAATAATAATAATTGTTATCATTATTCCAGAAATTGTTTTAAGTATATCATTTTTCCTTCTGACCATTCTGGTTTTTTTTTTTTTTTCCGTGTCCGGCAACGGTTCGCAACCCTCAGTGTCGCCCCCCATACTGGACCGGGACCGGCAACGGGATCGCAACCCTCGGTGTTGCTCCCGCGCCTCGCCCAGCCAGTGAGCGGGAACCGGTCTGTATGCGGGATCCGAACCCTTGGCGGGAGCGCCACCACACTTCCCAAGCGGCGCACTATTGCAGTGCGCCACCAGGCCGGCCCTTCTGACCATTCTGTTAATTAAGTGATATTATCCCCATTTTATAGATGAGAAAACTGAGTCTTACATTAAGTAATTTAGCCACGTTCATATAGAGACAAGAGCCAGGATTCAAATCCAGGTCATTCTGACACTAGAGTCTATGCTTTTTAACTACTACTGTCTTATAATGTTTATATTTATTTAAGTGTGTACATGACTATGTACATGGCAACTGTTTTTCACCTTTTTCAAAGAAAATATTAGTAATTGCACTCAATGTTAACCTATATTTTGTCGTTTACTCAGTGTTTGAATAAATATTTATGACTATGTACATGGCAACTGTTTTTCACCTTTTTCAAAGAAAATATTAGTAATTGCACTCAACGTTAACCTATATTTTGTCGTTTACTCAGTGTTTGAATAAATATTTACTGAGCACATATTTATAAGTCAGGCACTGTGCTAAGTGCTGAGGATAGAGTAGTGAATAAGTCAGAGATTCCTGCCCTCAGGGGACTTGCCTTCTAGTGAGGGTGACAGTCAGTAAACAGGTACGTAGGCAAGATAATTACAGATTGTGGAGGGTTATAAAGGTTATAAATATGGTGAGGTTTAGGAATAGAGAGAAACGAAGGGCTGGATGGACTTTCAGATAGAGTGATTAAAGGAAGGCCTCCCCATGGAGACTACTTTGGACAGAAACCTGGTTGTTTGCCAGAATAAACAGTAACTGTTATGTCTTAAAATGGGGATGTCCCTTATTAAAATAGAGATAATTGTTGTGCCTACTGACAATAATACTTGTAAAGCCTTTAGTACACTACCTGGTAGATAGTCAGAGCTCAGTAATAGTAACAGCATCAGATTTATTGGTTGTGTGTTTTTTACAATATTGTCCCAGAATTAACAACTGCTCTTACATAGCTCATGTTGAAGGTGCTGTGTCACTGAGTACATTTCTTTTTTTTCCTGAGCGTCTGTTATGGTTGGCATGGTATTAGGCCCTGCAGATGTAGCTGCGATCATTTCTTTACGGTTACAAAGAAGTTAGAGGGGCTGGCTGGTTAGCTTAGTTGGTTAGAGCATGGTGCTAATAGCACCAAGGTCTAAGGTTCTGTCCCTTTATTGGCCAGCCGCCAGAAAAGGGGGGGGGGGACAGAAAATTGATGGTGTTTGTTTTTCTTTTAGTATTGAAAATATCTCTAATTTTGTTATTACAGTATTGTAGGTCATGTTTGATAACCATGATGATTTCGCCCTTTCACAAGACCTATCATTCTTGAGTGATATTTAAATTAACAAGGATTCAGTAATATATTGGTCCTGAGGTAAAAATATGGAAAGTGAAGGGGCACTTTTAAAGTCTTATAAAGAATCAAAAAATAAAGTTATAATTGCATAATCCTAATATAGTACCCATGGGTAGAATGAATTAGTAAAGTGAACTAAATCATTTCTGTAGCTTCTTAAATTGAGTGGGACCTAATTGCCTGAAAGGTATAATTAAATTCAGCTCCAGAGGTTTTACCCAGGGAGTAATTTTATTGGAAGAGTATTGTTTGAAAAGTACAATTAACATTATGCAATTGGGGAAAAAGCATTGGTATACACTTAGATCTTTACAATTTTTGTTGCTTTGGGAAAGTCACTTAACATATATAGAAGGTCTTATATATATCTTATATATCTCTGTATAACCTAATTTAACTTGATTCTAGTAAAATTTTAAACCACTAATCACCAACTAATCCCTCAGTTTCTATGACAATAGCCAATATTTCTTGACATAACTCTTCAGCTTTCTTTTCTAATCACTAATGGCAGCTTTGGCAAGTCTGCTTTCTTGTTCCATTAAAAAATTTTAGAATATCCTATCATGGTTTAAAAAAACCCTCTGCTTTCTTGTTTTCCTCCATTAAATTTTTTTTATCTGATTTTTGTGTTCTTCCAGTTATATATAAGGATGCATACTCAGTTACGAGGTTTTTTTTTTTAACTCTTTAACAGCTTTATGTGTATGCTTTTTAAATTACAAAATTAACACATTCTCATTAAAGAATTCTCCAAATATGTGCTATTAGGAAGTGAAAGTTTCCTATAATTACCATCCACTTCACATTTTAACACCTCACTGCATTGTTAGTACTTACTTAAACCTAATGACACTTACCATTTTACACACACAAGAAAGGGTTTTGGTTTTAGACCATGTATTAATGTCAGCTTAGTAGCCTGGATCTCATCTCAGACAGCAATAATATATCAGTCACATACTGGATGGTTACATTCTTCTATTAAGGAAAGCTCAAGGATGTGGCTTTGCATTGTACTTGTAATCTGATGGTGGTGCTGTGAAATCCACCTCAGCAGCCTTAGTCTACTCTGGTTTATAAAGCTAGAATATTTTTAGTCCTTTAAGAAAGAAAAATAGAGGCTTCTCTGGGCTACTTTAACAATAATATTTCAAGACCGTACTCATATTTTCAAAAGCACATAGTGGTAAACACATTTCTATCATATTTCATACTGTTACAAAATTTGTTGTAGTCTTATCAAGTCACAAAAGAAACCTAGTGATGGTGTAATTACTATATTTTGGGAGTTTGATAATAAACAAAATATGAGAATTGATGTATTGGCTTATCTTTAATGTTGCTAAGGGAGTTAAATAAGGAATAAGTACCATTAATATTTGGACAAATGATAGACATAAGCTAATTAAGAGATTTCAACTTTTGTTTCTACATTAAAGTGACATAACTAATACCTTGCTGTTTATTTTAGAACCAAGATGATAAGGAAAATATCTGTTTCTGGAAATGGAATGTAGTAATTACCATAAGTCATACTTTCATAATATATATATCTTATTCAAGAATTAAATTATGTATGAGTATATTTCAAAAGGGTAATGAATGACCTTCTATTTTAGTAAGTAAGCAAATATTCTTCTGATAACTGTATTAAACTGTGCATTGGGTCTGACACATTCTAATAGATTAAAGCTCTGGCCTTTTTATGCTTCTTTATATTCCTGCATTGCCGAAAGTTTTATTCAAAGTAGGCTCTCAGTAAATGTTATTTTAATAGATGTGTTCCAGTTTTTGTACAAATTAGTGATTAATACTTAATGGAGTCTTTACTGCTTTTTTATTTCCTTAATTTTATATTTTAATGTGGTGTTCAAAGAATACTTTAAAATTATAAATTTTAAATCCTGTAACAAATATTTATACTTTATCAAAGCTATGCCAAAATTCAAATTCAGTTATTGCAGAGTATTGTGGTATATTCACAGATGCCTTTAGCATAAATGGCTTATGTTTTATGTGGATATTAAATTATAACAATAAAATATGTAAATTATTTTTGTCTTTGAAGGTCCTGATGAAGTTGTAGGGCCAGAAGGAATGGAAAAATTTTGTGAAGACATTGGTGTTGAACCTGAAAATGTATGTTTTATTTCTAAGTAGAATGGAATATAAGTGGGGTATAGCATATTCATAAATTTTTAAAAATTGAGACACTTTAATCTTGTATGAAGATTTTGTTTCTTCATGTTTAATATTATAAACGTGCATTTAGGTTATTTTTAATTAAGTTGGGCAAGTATCCTTGATACAAATGTCATTTGTAATAGAATAAGAGAGATTCTACCTTCAGAAACTATTAGAACTTTTTACTTTTAAGAAATTGGCACATCTCAATTTCTTTTTAGTTAATAATTCAAGAGGTTGTACTCTTTAATAGTTGGAGGATGGAAACAGTTGTATAAAAATGCTCTCCATGATAAATATAGACATGATTATCTCTGTGCTGACTTTTCCCCTATCCTTTATGTTCTGTTCTTTCCAGATTATTATGTTAGTTTTAGCGTGGAAATTGGAGGCTGAAAGCATGGGATTTTTTACCAAGGAAGAATGGTTAAAGGGAATGACTTCATTACAGTAAGACATTTTTTTAAAAAACAAATTTGATGGGCTGTTTGAAGATCTTAATTTATATTTTGTGCTTCATAATTTTCAGGAGTAAGGTTTCACCTTAAATAATCAAATCGGTTTGATCTATAACAATCAGTTTGGAGAATGACAAAATTATATTGTGGTCTTGGCAAATGAGTAGTTACCCCGTTTTTCATGTTCTCTAAAAATTTCAGTACAGTCCTATTAAAATTAATTGATTCTCTTGTTGAGTGAATTAGAAGTCCATGATCGAAGAGTTATTTATTCATAGGTTGTTTGGGTAACAAAGGCTTTCCCTTTCTGAATACAGAATCATGTTTTCTAAGGAGTTTGTTGTTGGGCAGTCTTAAATTCTGGGACCTCTTTTCTCCCCTCTATAATTTTATACTTGATTTTTAAAAAATTGATGATAGAATTACATGACACTTTCACGATTTTTTTTTTGTCAAATGAATCTCATAAAGAACAAAAGTAGAAATGGTGTATGACTCCCATGCAGTCTTTAGCCATTTTGTAGTTGTATACTTTTAGTTTAAGATACTGCCTTTAAACATTTTTATAAGCTATAGAATTGCTTTTATAAAATTAATTTGATTTTGCTTTTCAAAAATAAAGTGTGTTTAATTTCAGAATTAATTAGTAATTATGTGTTAACTTTATGTTTTGTCATGTTGCCTGTTCATGTAGGATGTTACCAATTATCAACATGCTAAGATAGAGGAAGCATTAATTTATAATATTTTTGAGGCAAAAACTGGGCCTTAATTAGCCATGTGATTTTCTGTTGTGATTATGCTTTTATTAACAGTTAACTTCCTTTATTCTTTGTTTGCTTGTCCTTAAATTTTTTTTAAAGAAAGTATATTTGTTCATGTGGCACTTAAAATTTTTATATTTGAATTTTCAGTGTAATTCTTTTTTTTAATGAGCATTAACACATAGATACATTTTTTTCCCCTTGGGTAAAAACCTTTGCTCATATGAACCAAATCATAATTTCTAGAATAGAACATAAAATCTACCCTCCCATTTCCATTACTTGCCGATAAGGAGTCTGAGACTCATAGAGGTTAAGAAAATATTTGGCAAAGTTTGCACAATCCCTTAGTGACAGAATTAGGACCTAGAATTTAAGTTTTCTGATTACCAGTCGACAATATTGCACTTCATATTGTATTGTTCTTTCATATATAAATTAGCATTCTTTATTAAATGGAGGGCTGTTATTAACTTTTTAAGTCTTAGTATTTGCAGCTGACTGAATTCTGTCATACATCTAGGTATCATAATATGCCCAGTTAAAATATACTAGTTCTGAAATTCTTTGGGCTATTTCCCACCATTTAATAAGCATTTTAGAGAAAGATTAAATAAAATGTACAAAAAAGTATGCAAAGAATATAAGCTAGTTTTTATATCACTCAGTCTGTTCTATTAAAATTTATGTTGTACCATGGCTTATTAATTGGTGTTATGAGTGCTTTTTCTTCTACTACTACAGCTTTTTGTATACTGCTTTTTTGGAGTATTCCAGCTAACAAGTGGTTGTATTTTTTTTTTTTTCCTTTTTTTTTCCTTTTTGTCTTTTTCGTGACCGGCAACGGATCGCAACCCTCAGTGTCGCGCCCGGACCGGGACCGGCCACGGGATTGCAACCCTCGGTGCTGCCCCCGCACCTCACTCAGCCAGTGAGCCACCGGTCTGTATGTGGGATCCGAACCCTCGGCGGGAGTGCCGCCGCGCTTCCCAAGCGGCGCACTGCTACGGGCCGGCCCTGGTTGTATATTTTTGAACTGAAAAGTTTCTTCTTCTTCTTCTTTTTTTTTTTTATTACTTAAGTTAATATAATATAAAGAGTCTTTGTATAATAAAAATGTGTAAACACAAAGCATTTCTAATATTTTATTCCTGAATAATTAGCAGCATATGATTTTGGGTACAAGAACAGAAGTTAACTGGCCCATGAGCATGGTTTTTTTTAGCACACCTTTCCTATAGAAAGTTCGCAGGGTTTACAAAATAAAAGCAATTATTCAGCACTTAGAACTGCCTCAGAAGTTTCTCTTTCACTTATTTATTATTCTTGCCCATCACCCTAGAACTATATACTGTAAAGCCTTGAAGCTACTCAAATAAGCAAGTACTCTTGACTGGGAAAATAGTTGTTTTTTTACCCATGATCTAGATTGCTAGATGAAGTACAAAGTGTCTTCACTCATTTGGCCAAGTCTTATTACTCCCTGAATCTTGTGGAAAACTTGCTAGGAATAAAATACTTTGAAATTTAAACCAAGAGAGGTGAAAGAATCTGTATGTTTTAATTTCAAAATTTATACTTGTTTAGTATACTTGGTTTTATTTAATAAATATAATCATAAAATATAAAACGTCAGTCTTAATTCCTTTTATTTTTTGTATTTTTAGGGTTTAATTTAACCTGGGCATAGTTTATCTGACAGTCTTTAAATCATCATCAGATAGTTATCAGTTGTTTCACTAATAAATTTTAATGCATAGAAAACTTTAGTAGAATTATGCTAAAGATTAGAAGCAGTCTGATAGTTGAAACATATACTGTGGTGAAGAATAGTATACTATAATAATCATGATTAATTATAATCTGTATTATGTATAATGCTTTACATTTTTCAGAATGCTCTATTTTACATTCATGTGTAGAGTTTGTGTGTAATTGGATGAGACTGGCCATTTTTTAAGTTTCAGGATGACATTACCATATTCTTTTCAGATATTTTGCTCCATGTAGTTTTCATCTTTGTTTAGTAATAGTCCAATTTCCCTGCAAATCAGATTTAATTTTGTAGATATTTATATTAAATACCTATATTATGTAATGTACCATGCCACTTACTGGTGATTACAGTGGGGCATAAGACAGAGTTCTTGTCCTTTAATTATATTCTAATAGGACAGGAAAGACATTACAATACTATAACCATAAATCCAGGTGGAACATGACAAGTGCTAGAGTAGAACTACAAAATACTATGGAAGCACAGATGTTAATAAGGTTAATTTCAGCTCAGTAGATAGGGAAGTCTTTATAGATGTGGCATTTGAACTGGAACTTGAAGAATAATTAGGATTTTAATGGTTGAGGATATGGGAACATGATTGTTTCAGAAGAGAAAAATTGTGAGCAGGGCCTCAAGAAAGGAAAGCATATGTTTGAAGGAGGTAATATGGTTTGGTAGAATCATGAGATAACAAAAAGAAAATTGCCAGGATTGGTTTAGAATTTTAGATAGTTCAGATAATGGCTGTAATGTGGAAGGCTTTAGCTAACATGGTGAGAGATTTTAACCATATGTTTATAGATATTGGGAAACCATTAGAGATTTGGGGGATAGTTTTTGGTGAGCAGTTTTTAATGTTTTAAGGTCATAAACTCTTGAGAATCTTATGAAAACTGGGGACCTTGTCCCCATTAAGATGCACATTTACTGCTACAGACACAATTTTGTTTATGCTAGGAGGTTACAGATCTTTCTCTTCCTTCATCTATGATATAAGGTTCCAAGGATATTTGCAAGTTTTTGTTTTGGCATATGTTACTGGAGTGAGTGGAGAATTTTCATGTCTGCTACCTGAAAGTTTGGTGTTGGAGCAAGGATAAAATACCATGCTGGTGGAGAAAACTGTGAACATAAACTTTTGATAAAGGACTGTGCTTTATTATGCTAATGAAAAAAGAGGGAAAGGGATAGCATCTACAACAGTAGTAGTAACCAAGTTGCCTGCCAGTAGGTTACATCTTCTGTTGTACATCTTCTGCTGTCCCTATTGAATCCTGGACATAGAAAATGAAAAGGAATGGCTTGGTTTGACTTTCTTTAAGAGAGAGAGAATGGGTAAAATTTATACCATTTTTTGATGGGGGTGGAAGAATAGGATAGATGGGATGCTGTGGTGTGTGCTGTGTGACAATCATTCAGTTTAGCATTTGGGGTTCCAACAACTAATTGCCATTAGAATCCCTCCCTTCTGCTCTCTTTTAGAATCATCATGACAATTTCAAAATGCCACCTCTCCACATTTTCAAATACCCTTTGAGGTAGACTGTATTGCTCTGGTTGGTAAACCTGATTTAGAGGGAATTCTAAACCCAAACTTTGTGCTGAAATTCTTTGTGTTACACATCAGTGTGTCACAGCCCACTTATTGGAACTTTCTGATTAGAAGACCCTCACTTAGATCTAATATATAAATGGGAATTTCTTCTCATTTTAAAGGTCTTTGATGAAGCAGAAATTTGAAAGCCTCCCTTGGTAATCAGATACTGAAATACTGAAGAAATTCCCAAGTTGTAATGTTGAAATCTAGAGCCATTTCTTCCCATTCTAATGACCACAGTGGCCTGGGAGAGTGGTATATTGTGCCAGTGTTCCCTAAAATCTGTGTAGTGTTATTTGGTACTTATTGAGAAACCTTTTTCTTGCTTTCCATGATATGCTTGTTAAGTATACATTTTTTTGTTGTTGTTCAGGGGAAATATTCTTTCTAAACTTCCTAAGTTAAGAGATAATTGATGTTATTAACTCTGGTAAGTTTATTTGGGGGCTAGGTTAAATATAAGAATTGCATTGGTGTTAGTGACTGCTTGGGTGTGTTTATTGGTTTTGCTAGGTTTGTTCAGTCTTTACGACATTGGTAATAAATGTGGAAGTTTGTGCTCTTATTCTTTTTTTCACTCTTCTCTAAAAAGAAAACAGTTCTGTTGGATTCTTTCTCTGTTCAAGATTTATTGTAGACCATTATGAATGGTGTGAAATAGTTTGGACAGAGGTGTGTAGTGTAGGTGATTTTAAATCCATTTGCTTCAAAAGAAGTATATTAAGCTAAGAAATGTGCTAAGCAATTAAGACATGTGTTCTCATTTTATCTTTATGGTTATCCTATGAACTTATCATCATTGTTATTGTCATTTTAAAAATGAGGAAACCAACGCTGAAAAGAGTTGAGTA